GGATTAACTCATTCATAGATTTGAAAAGGATGGAGAATGTAAGGAGATGCATACATCTAACAGATAAACGAGTCAGCTGAGCGATTATGGCTTCACATTTCTCGGAATTGAAGTTATTGTGGAGAAAAAGCTTGATGCCCTTGGATTTGTCTACCCTCAAATTAGGAGATGAAGAAAAACAATGAAGCACTAACACAACGAAAGCTTTGAAGATCGAAGCTATGATAACACAAAGATTGTTGTGTACAAGATTTGGTGGTCTCGGAAGATGAACAAACGAAGGACGAACTTAAAGCTGAAGTTTATAAAGGTTCATTTCGGCTAAAGCAGACGAAGCTAAAGCTTTGGGATTTTTCTGACTAGTGAAAGCAATTTGTTTTTCTAATTTTGACACACTGTTATTTCTAATTGCGTGATTGTTTTTAGGAGACAAAATTTAAAATCAACGGCTTTCCGTGTAACCGACTCCAAGAAACTGCCCTTGGAATTAGTTTTTGCTGTAGTGTTTGTGTATTATTTTATCTTACTTAGTTACCATTAAGTTAGCCTTTGTCTCTTTCTTTTCTTCATGGCCTTATACTATAAAGGTGTGTGAGGAATAGTTGAAAATGACATATCAAAGTGGCAAGAACATAGAGTCACACAATTTTACCATTAAGTTAGCCTTTGTCACAATTTTACTTTCCTCGTCCTCTTATTTTTTCTTTGGAACTCAAGACTCAATAATAATAGAGTCACACAAGAAAAATAATGACATATCAAAGTGGCAAGAACATAGATTATTTTTGAAGAAAGCTAGCAAGGAATCTAGAGCAATAAGGAAAAAAGAGAAAAGCAAAATCAAGATTAAAGGTAACAAATGATGGACAATATTCAAAAGATGTTTAAAGTAACAAGTCATGGTAAAAGAGTGTTTGTATCAACTCAAACAAAATGTCAAATATTGTCAATCCAACAAGTTAAGTACAAAAGTCAAAAAAAGAAGCAGCAATGTCATGGAATCAATTCACAAAGCTAAGTCCAAAACCTCATTAGATTATATTTCAGTACTTAAAGTATTTGTTGAATCATCAAGGTTTTTCATTAGACTTCGTGTTGCATATAACTCTCTATTTGCAATTGTAATTATACACCCAAACGACTTGTTTAGTCTATATGATTCCTTATGACAAGTTTTTTCATTTTCTAATTTTTATAACGGAAAAGTTTAAAAAGCCCCTCACAAAGAAAATAAGTGATAAAAAATATGATAATATAAAATTTATAGAGCAAACCACATTGTTTTTCTTAACTTTTTCTTATAGAATATAGGGGAAAAAAGTTTGCTATTTTAAAGAATATAATTTTATGTTATTTTAAGTAAAATTACCGTATTTTAGTATATATTTGTTTAGTCTTTTAAATTCTCTCTCATATACAAAATTAGGAGTAAAGAGAAAGAGAGAGTATTATAAATGAGAGAAAATATTAAAAAAAATTAAATATATATACTTATAAAAATAAGGTCGTTTAACTTAAAATGACACAAAATTATATTCTTTAAAATGATTAACAATCATCTCGATATATAAAACACCCATCTCACATCACACAACAACTAAAATTTTGGAAGAATTATTATTTAACTTTGATACTTGTTATTAATTTTTCTTTAATTATTTATGTAATAACTCAATAACAATATTAGGGGTGGTAAACGAACGAGGGGTCTTTCAGTGGCCTTTGACCTGGCTGTGAAGACTTGGGCTTACATGTCTAAAATTGGTTGTTGGAACCAGACTTGGACTTGTATAAAAGCTCGTTTAATAAAAAAGTCTCAGGCTTCAATTCAAAAGTTCGGCCTTAGAGCTTCTCTGGCTGGCCTAGTATACTAACTTTTTATTTTATTTTATATTTTTTATACTGCTCATAATAGCCCTCTCTCTCATCAACTTATTTCACCCCATTTTATTGGTTAAACAGACTTTTTGAATGATTTTATTGTATATTACGTTGTTTGGATATACATTGAATTTATGAATCTTTGTGAAATTATTAGTGTTGTTGATTGTATATTCTGTTTGGATAAATTTTGTTGCCTTTTTTTTAACAGGCTAAATCAGACTTTAATTTTTTGTAAATAAGTTATGCCACATTTCGATAATTATATTCATAACAGGTAACAGGTTAAGCCAGACTGACATATTTAAACATAGGTTTAATTTTTTTAATACCAAAATTCGACTTGCCTCGACCCGTTAACACCCCTAAACAATATGAATAGAAAAAGTTCATTTCTCCTTTCCCGATTCACCATTTTGTAAGGGAATGAATTCTCTCTAGTTAAAATTTTAAATGACCTATCAAGTTAAAAATTTATATTTCTCTCTTTTCGTAAAGATTAATTGGAACTAATCCATTTGATACAAGGGGCAGGATATATTTATCACAAAAAATATTTATCACCTTTTTAACTAACGTAATCACTGTTTATTTTCGTCAATCTAACGGTTATAATTTATTGGATTTATTGAAAATTAATAATTAATTAATAAGTGCGATACAATAATTTTCAATAAATTATAATTATTAGATTCACAAATATCAACGATAATTAGGTTAGTTGTAAGGATGATAAATTTTTATAGTAATAAATGTATCCTTCTCCTTAATACAAAAGTAAAATATACGAAGAAAGTTATATTTACAAATTTTTTGTTTATAAATTTTTTAAAATACTTAATATAATTTATAAAAATTTATAAAAAAATATATATAAATATAATTCTCCCCCGAAATATAAATACAAAATTTTTACAATACATGTAATTGGAAAGAGAAAATTAAAAGTTGCAGGAATCTTATCGTAAATGGTACTTGGAGTTGTCACTCACAATGGTTTCGTGGCGGCCCAATTGACACGACATCCTATCCCCACACTAGCAATTACTAGTTTTTTGTCCCCAATATTTAACTTCTCTTGGACAAAGAGATCGAAAACGCAAACATTTGTGAAAGTGAGGTGACAAGAAACAAATCTCTAACATTTTAATGTTATAAAGACTAAACTATAATAATCGAGCTACAAATAATTAATTGATATTAATTATTACAGTAATAAATCTTATGATATTAACATCGTAAAACAAACCAAACCAAACCAAAACACGAATAATTATTTAATTTGAGTTCACTGACTGTGTATATAATACCATCATCCGATGATGAAATTTAATATATAATGTGGAATAATATAATAAAGGTATTAATTGATAAAAATAATTATATACAAGAGGCATCCCTGATATGATTGTAAATTATAAAAAGAACATGACATATAAATTTTTAATCACACAAATAAATATAAATTGCTACATAAGAAATAAATTACAAGATCAAATATAAATAAAAAATATATATAAGTAGCTTGTTTCTAATTAACTCTCCATAATAATTTTATCTTTCCATTTAATTAAGATAAAAATAAAACATTTAAAGATTTTTAAAATAGTCAAAATATATCAATTATAGGGAATATTCACAGTATTGGTATTGTTAAAAATTAGTTATCTATCACCAAATACGTGGATAAACTGAAATGAGATTGTTCTAACTAGATGAGTCCAGTAATTGATGAATTAGTAGAATTTTTGTTTTAAAAAAAACTTAGTTACACAAAAACGAGGGAAGTATAAAAGTTTGGCGAGAAGATGATATTTTATACAAATTTATTTTAAGTGAATAGTTGAAAATATATTTATTATTAAAATTTGAAAATTAAAAATTTGAAAATATTTAAAACTAAATAAAAATGAATATATTCTTTTTTATCTAATTGGAAAATTAATTTAAAAGTACTTGTTCACCTAAAAATCCAATCTAATATGTATAAAGTTTTAGGATATGTAAACAAAGGTAAATAAGAATACAAATAACATTAAATTTCAATAAATTAAAATTAAGATTTATTTGAAAATGAATTAAAATTAAAATAATTATTTATTTGCTTTATAAATAAAGGGGTTTTGATCTAAGAAATGCAAACTTTTAAAAAATTCACATGTTTAGTTCGTTGACCAAATGTTTTTTCGGACTAATGCAGGAAGACGCGTTTCATGTGGTTACGCGTTTAGTCATGCATCTGACACATGCGCGTTTCTGACAAATCTGAACACGTCTGTACTAGATGCGTGTTTCTGACAAGTCTGATGAGCACAATATTAAGATGCGTCATATTCAGGCACGCATTCCGTGGCATAGTTGCGTCACAGTCAGAAACGTGCACCTGGTACAGACGTGTTTAGACACATACCTAGTACATACGTGTTCAGATTTGTCAGAAATGCGCATATGTCAGGTGAGTGACTAAATGCGTAACCACCTAAAATATATCTTCCTGCATTAGTCCGATAAAACGTTTGGTCAACGAACTAAACAAGTGAATTTTTTTAAAATTTGTAATTTTTTGTTCAAAAACCCAATAAATTCACTTAGAACAAGAAAAAAAATCTTTAACGTCAAAACCTGCTTCAGTCAGTCAGCACTAGTGGAATCTATCTTTTCTTACCCCATTAAGGTTATTAAAACATTGCTCTCACTTTTCCATAATGAATATTTCAAAGGTATTGGTTAAAAAATATTTAATAAAAAAAAGTATTAAACATGCAATTTTAATATATTAATGTTTATAATTTTATTTTCTTAAAAAGCACAATTAGTAATCAAATTCTTTACTTCTATAATATCTTTCTTATATTACAAAAGACACATATTTTATTAAAAATAACAGAATGTATGGCTCTCACTGGCGCCATGTTAATTGTTACCTGAGTGTATTTTATTGACCTCATGAGTCATGTCAGTGAATTCAACACGCGTCAAAAGTTGTTCTGTTTTACTTTATGTTTTTTTTTTTTTTTTTTTTCCTATTTGCCACACTCTGTTTATCACCAGCAGCATTCACACTCGTGTCAAACACTGGCTTGCGTCTTTGTAAAGTTTAAGACTTTGGTGACATTTTCAAAACCCCGAAACCTACTCTTTTTTTTTGTCTCTATGGAATAATACACGTTTGTTTAATGAGCTACGCTTTTCATTCCCTATATGTCAAAAACAGAATATTGGGTTGTGTAGAATTGCACTGATCAAAAGGCTTGCGAATTGGGCAATAATAAACATGGAGCGCTACGATATTATCAAAGATATTGGGTCTGGGAAGTTTGCTGTGGCCAAGCTGGTTAGGGACAAGTGCACCAAAGAATTTTTTGCTGTCAAGTTTATTGAGAGAGGCCAGAAGGTCTGCTTCATCTTCTTTACCCTTTCAATTTCATTTTCAGTTTAATTTTTTTTTTCTCTCTCTTTGTCGATAATACTTTATCTGTGTTCGGTGCTCTGTGTGTGTGTGTGTGATTTTGTTTCTGTTTCACTTTGGAGATATGTTCTGCAGATTGATGAGCATGTCCAGAGGGAAATCATGAACCATAGATCATTGAAGCATCCCAATATTGTTAGATTCAAAGAGGTTAGTAAACTCATGTTCCTAATCATAATCACTAAAGGTGTCCAATTTTACCCCGAAATTGGACGTGTCATCTTTTTTTTTTTCTAGCTGAATATTAAAATTCAACAAAATATGAGATTCGTTTTTTGGTCTTCAGGACTCCTACTATTTTTGCTGTTTTTCGATTATGTTAACTGATTTCTTGGTTTAATTCAATGTCTATCGATTGGGAAATATTTTTTCTTTGCCAGTTTTTTTTTTTTTGTAATATATAAGTACGTTGTATTAAAAAATAGGGAAAAGTTCACCAATGCCCACGTGGTTTGTTTCAGAAACATTTATGCCCCTGTGATTTTTTTTCTATCACATATGTCCCTGTGCTTTATAAAAAATAAGAAACCACGAGGTATATGTGATAAAAAACATACCTTTTTACAAACCACAGGGACATATGTGATAAGAAAAAAACCACAGGGGCATAAGTGATTCTGAAGTAAACCACGTGGGCATTCGTGAACTTTTCCCTAAAAAATATAATATAAAATTATTAAGATAGTTTCTCTAATAATTTAAATTTTAAAATTAAATTTAGCAGCTCTCATCTTACGTAAGAGAAAGAGATAAACGAAAGTTAAATCAATTTTATACAAATAATAATAAGTTTTATTATAATATTTTTATATTTTTCTCTCTCTTAACGTGAAAAAATCCTTTATGTGATGACTCTACTTGCAGGTCCTGCTGACACCAACACACCTAGCCATAGTAATGGAGTATGCTGCTGGAGGAGAACTCTTTGACAGGATATGCAATGCTGGTAGATTCGGTGAGGATGAGGTAATGTAGAAAGGGGAGGTATAATTTGAATAATTTATGTAGTTCATTAAGATGTTATTTAGATTTTATCTTGCTGTAAAGGTGTCCATTTGATGAAGTCATCCAAAAGGTTGAACAAAGTCCATCTATGGTTAATTTTTTCTCTTAAGCTTGTATATATACATTATTTCATTCAGAATCTTTGGTCCTAAATCCTGTTACTTTTCATCAGGCAAGATTTTTCTTTCAGCAATTGATATCAGGAGTCAGTTACTGTCATTCAATGGTACGAAAATAAACTATTCCTTCATCATGAATCATGTACCTTACAATGAAAAGATATTTTTATTTAAAGGAATGCTTGTGCAGCAAATCTGTCACAGAGATCTGAAGCTTGAAAACACACTCTTAGATGGAAGCACTGCACCACGAGTCAAAATTTGTGACTTTGGTTACTCAAAGGTAGCAACGTTAACAAGGACTACAGCTCTAGTTTATGCCACCTTTGGCAAGTGATGTTAATTTGTTTTTACCTTGTCTTTTAGTCATCTGTATTGCATTCACAACCTAAGTCTACGGTAGGAACTCCAGCTTACATTGCACCTGAGGTCCTGATGAGGAAAGAATATGATGGAAAGGTAAAATTTTATTCTTCCTTATTGCTTATCCTTGGTCTTGGTCTTGGCTTTATTTTTTTTAACTATCTAAAGAAAGGTGGTCCTTTGTGTATCCTGTTCATTGTTTTCTTTGCTAATTATATATTGTCATTGTAAGCTGTAGATTGCAGATGTTTGGTCTTGTGGAGTCACCTTATATGTGATGTTAGTTGGGGCTTATCCTTTTGACGACCCAGAGGATCCCAAGAACTTCAGAAAAACCATTGGCGTGAGTGATAACTGCAAACTTGTTGAATATCTATATTAAGCAAAATGAAGTCTACAAATAGGAGTAAGTTGTTTAGTTATACGTTCTCTGATATGGTGTTTGCTTATTACAGAGGATACTTAGTGTCCAGTACTCAGTCCCTGATTATGTACGAGTTTCCATGGAATGTAGACATCTTCTATCACAAATATTTGTGGCCAGTCCTGAGAAGGTAGTTGGTTTCATGTCTAAAATCTAATTGTTGTTTTCTTCATTTTTAAATTTCTACAAGCTACAAGGTTTAATTGCTGTTGTGCTGCAGCATACTGCTTATATAACTGCTCTTCATATTTATTTTCATGCAAATTTTTAAGTTATGCTTTTCTCATACTAGGGCATGTTTAAATGCTGTTTTTCTCTATTTTGGATTCAAGAATATGTGGTTTGTGGGTTCTGGGCACAAATTCAAGTGATGCTTATCCTTTTCTCTATCTTAGGCATCTTGCTGAAAATCTTGTGTTGCAATGCATCTTGCTTCCTTTACAATTTCATTAAGTCATTCATTGCATTTTGCAGAGAATAACGATACCAGAAATTAAAAACCATCCATGGTTTTTGAGGAACTTACCCATAGAATTTATAGAAGGTGGAAGCTGGCAAATCAATGATGTAAATAATCCATTACAAAGTGTTGAGGAAGTCCTGTCCATTATACAAGAGGCAAGAAAACCTCTTAGCGTCCCCAAGGTTGGTGGCCTTCTTAGTGGGGGCAGCATGGACCTGGATGACTTGGATGCTGATGCAGATATTGAAGATATAGACACAAGCGGTGATTTTGTGTGCCCTCCTCTTTAAGTGTATGCATGAACAAGCTGAGCTATTGTTTGCTATGAAAATGTGAATAGATATGCTCAGTGGGGGCTGAAATTCCTTGCTGGTTGTTTTTTAAATTAAGATCAGTCGCTCCACTTGTATTGTATGGCTTGTTATTAGTTTTGACATTTCAAGGGTTTTTCCTTCTGTTCTTTTTACCATCTCCCCATCATGCGTTGTCACATGTGGATATGATCAAATTCAGGAACTGAGATATGGGAAATAGGAGAAGTATACTAATGTTACTGGATTCTATATTGTGGAAATTGAGCAGCATGGCTATCCTTGGAGGCTTTTCCCTCTACCGTGATGCCTCCCTCATAACTTTGCTGATTTCAGTTCTTCCCTTGGACTAAAAATTGCTCCCAAGACATTGTCGCCATCCAAAATACAATGGCACTTACAATTACGAAACAAAATGAAGAATTCCAACTGTGTTACTTCTATAATTGCCTAGTCTATCCGTGGATCACAGCAACAAAGCAAAACATATTTATTGTGCAGGCACAATAGGCTTGTTTAACTCGAACACTATGCTTATATTCTTGATAATTAGCCAAAATAAAAGTTCTAAACATTGCCAGTACAAAGATCAGTTAATTCTCCATATGAACGCATCCAAAATGATTTCATATGCATGTAGATCAAAGTCTACATTGTGTGCACAAATCAACAAGCATTCAAGAAAATTAAACAGTGCTGGAGGATGAGACATGTCTTATTCTTTATGCCTAAATATGTAATCAAAACACTCTTAAGGAATGTAAAGCTTTGGCTTTTTCGAACTTTGATCATGATTCCTGTTGACGGAGAATTAATACAATGTTGTTGTCTTTGAATTGATGACTTTGATGCCGAAAGGAAATGATGATTTCATTATTTTAAGAGGAAGGAGGCGCGATGACAATGCTGATTTCATCCTTTTAAGCTACTGGCTTCTGTAAGGTTACTATATAAGTTGTTTTCTGCTAAGTTACTATAATCTTTAGCACATCAAAGCTGATATGATTAAATCAGAGTTGTAGCTAATCATACCATCATGTGATTAGACCAAAAAGTTCATCATTCTTAAAACAACACAATTACACAAGTACAAACAAAAGTTAAGAGTTTAATGTGCTATTAATCATCATACGTACAAACATCCAGTTATCTGTAAATAGCTTATCCAAGACTAAAGTCTACAATTTAACAAGTCAAATTGGATAAACTAAACTACAAAGTTGTTACAATTTTACATGCCCACATCCAATTTGCAATATGATCATAATATATTATAATATCTGCTACACCTTCAACATATAACTTTAATAAGTTTTCATCATTCAAGTTTGTTCTCACTATGTTACAAATTTCATTCTTAGTCTCTATTTTTGTATGATACATATCTTCCATTCTAAAAAAAATAGTCACATATACTTTAAATAACAAAATTGCAAAGAGTATTATCAATCAAATTCAGATTTATAATATTTGAATATTATTATCTAGACGCAGAAATCGAATTGTGCACAACCATGAACTATGTATTGTCTACAATCAAGCATTTAATTTAATAGAATGCTGCTTATATATATATATGCTCATTCCAAACTAGTATCCTTTTCAATAACTACATAGTCAACTAAATCAACTATTTCTAGCTTGTCGTCTTGGTAAAACCACAACAAATATAAGCATGCGGCAGACTCTTTCTTGGAACTCAATTGTATATATATGCTTTTGTTCATATGTTTAGAATTTAGCATTTTGACACTGTAACCATAAAATGAAAATAAATAAAATATTTAATAAAAAAATTTAGAAATTGTATACCACTTATGACCTTGCCAAAGAAATGACCTTCTTAAATTCTGTCAGTTATATCATTTATCTTCGTTTGGAAAACTCAATATATAATGTGAGGACGATAATATATGTTTTATTTCTCATTTACAAAGCTGACTTTATTTTTAACCATTTTGGATTAAACGTTCACGCTGCAATCAAATTTGGATAAACAAACCCTTTAAAATAAAATCATTGCATCACGACAATTATTAAAGATATATCTCATCCTCTGTTGAAAGAAGATGGAACAATAGTATCTCATCCCCGCCTAGGAAACGTCGAGGTTTGGTAGCAATCAACAGAGAAGAAATAGGGGTAGTAAGGGAAGGTATGGAAAATCACTGAGAATGATTTTATAATAGGAAAATTGTCATTAATGAAAATAATATGTTGTCATTTTCATTCTTTTGAGATGATAAAGTTGAAAACCAGAACAAAGATAAGTCAGAAAGAGGTGTTCTCTAATTTTTATTCTAAAAACCGAATATTATTTTTGTTTTTTCGTTCTTAAAACTAAAAAACAGTTTTCTAAAACACTAATCAAACATGCCCAAAAAAAAGTAATCAAACATGCCCTATATCCAAAAAAAACTTGTTATGCTAGATCGTGAATAATTCCCAAACGAGCCTGAATGGGAATACTAAGGTCACTTTCATCAAATGTGGGCTACTGCCCATAGAACCAATAAAGGAACTAGCCATAATATATGATATTTACAGCGAGAGCAATTTGAAAACGGCAGGACTATCTAGCCCCTTCACTCATGATCGAAATAGTCACCGTCCAATCTTTCATGCACCTATTATTTCAAGCCTTCAACTCATCCCCGAAGCAATGTTCACATAAAGAGAAATATCAGAAAATGAGTGAGTGGCAACTTGAACAACCCACCCCAGTAAAAGTACAAGAGCAAGCAAGTGCTTTGTCACCATAGAGACTTGAATTACAAACGCAATCGAAACTTTTTCGTTTCTTTTATTAATAAGTTCTCTGGTCCTTCCAAGTTCAAACGTATTACCAGGCAGTATACACATACAAATACAGTACACAACAACATAAGCTAACTATCTAACCAGTCCAAGTCCACATCCACATCCACGTGTAACATAAAAGTGACAGCCATAGATAAATATATAGGAAAAAGAAAGAAGATATTTTGTTGATTCCGAAAGCCCCTTTTACAGACCTAAAGAGGCAAGAGGCTGCTGCGAACTGATCCTACTCTTTCTTAGACGTTCAGAGATGATAAAGGCAAGCTCAAGAGATTGTGAAGCATTGAGCCTAGGGTCACAGTGTGTGTGGTAACGTGAGCTCAGGTCATCAAATGTGACCGTCCTTGACCCACCAATGCACTCAGTCACATTCTGACCCGTCATCTCTAGATGAACTCCTCCTGGGTTGCTTCCTTCTTGTTCGTGCACATCGAAGAATGCTCTCACTTCAGCCTGTCCAATTAATTCAGTGGAAAAAGTTAGTGGCATCAATAATCATAATCAAATTTCAGAACAATGATGTTTCTTTCCATAAGTTGGTAAGAATATACATTTACAAACCATGTGGGTCCCAAACGTCCAATCCCACCTACTGATAAGGAAATGCAACCCAATCCCACAATGGCATTTCTTACTGACCAAAGAACCAAAGAATGGCTTGAATACTTCACTATTTCACCTACTACAAGTAGACCCCTTTGATTACCAACCACTCCAGCTTCTAAATATTATATAGCCTTTGAATTCGGTAGCCATCATTAAAGACCAGTACAGAAGCAATTAAAAATACGTATACTTCGTCAAAGTAAACAGGTCTGTACTTATTTCCCAACCTTCTTTTTCAATGTTTTCTCTTTCTTTCAAAATTCAAATATAAGTTCGAGTAAAGTTTGTTTTTGGGTCCCTAAAAAAACCACGATCCCCGCTTTTATCGCTTGCAAAAAAAATCAACTTTTGATCCTTTACGATTCCAGTTCTTTGAAAATGTGATCTTCTCAAAAATCTTTGAAAATGTGATCTCCTAAAAAATTCAATGAAGATCCAATTTAGTCCCAAAGAAGGACTAATATGAGTTTTTTTTTATAAAAGACAAAAATGAGAACCATATTTTTTGTTAGGGATCAAAAAGAGCTCTACTCTATAAGTTTTAAGAATTTTTTTCTCCAAATATTATGACTAGCACAGTGAAGCGATTTCATTTTTTGTTAAGGAAGACGACAACAACTAAAATTTGACTTTAATCCAAACATATACATATTTAAAGCTATCCAACACTACAGCCACTCATAACCAATTAAAAAGAGAAAGAATCACAGTAATTATACCCTGATGGCATCGAAGGGGCGAGTTTTAAGACCACATGGAGCCTTTATGGTGTTTCCGTGCATGGGATCGCTGACCCATGTGACAATTTGTCCTGCTCTACGCACTGCCCTGATTAAATGTGGAAGCTTCACTCTCATATTTTCAGCTCCCATCCTTGTGATCACAGTGATTCTCCCCGGCTTGTTTTGGGGATTCAAGATCTCAATGAGTTTAACCAACTCATTAGGATCCATCTTATCACTTGTCTGTCAATGCATCAAAAATCATATAACTCCAATAAAGCAAATAAAACCACTAAGATGCAGAGGAATGAAAAATAAAAAACTAAGAGATTTGAGAATCATGGAGATTATGCTAAGTGAATTAATTTGCTTGATCAAGCTTCTTTATGAACTCATAAAATGAAAGTGCAGTCGGATAATAAGAATCATGTCCAAACCTTAATTCCTAAAGGATTAGCAACTCCTCTTAAAAACTCAACATGGGCACCATCCAGCTGCCTTGTCCTTTCCCCAACCCAAAGCATATGAGCTGAGCAGTCATAGAAGAGACCAGAAGTTGAATCCAACCTAGTAAGTGATTGTTCGTATGGCAATAACAAGCATTCATGAGATGTCCAGAATTCAGTTGTTTTCATTATAGGATGGTCCACTGTGAGCCCAGCAGCAGCCATGAATCCAAGGGCCTCATCAACTCGGTGAGCAAGCTCCCGGTACCTACCATGCCAAAAAGAGATTTAATTTACCTCAAGCCACACATATACTTGAAGATTAACATACCTACACCATGGTAAAAAAAAAGAGAGTATACAGGCACATTGTTCGTAGCAACTATTATCTAGAAAGGAGTGAAAGAACAATACTGTTATTTGTACACCGTTTTCATTACAACGTTTTTATACTTCTTCCATTTTATATAATAAAACAACAAAAGCATACATCTACACACCTCTAACTTTATCATCCCAGACTGGAAAGCATGAACAAAAGCAGTGAAAGAACAATATTGTTATTTATACACCATTTTCACTACGACGTTCTAAACTTCTTCCTTTTTAGATATTATACAACAAAAGCATACATCCAACACACTCTAACTCTATCATCCCAGACTAGAAAGTATACACTAAAGTGTAAACATTATGTTGTTGAAATGACAAAGGCCGTAAAAGAAATCCAGCACGGTCATCTTGTGATATATGTAACTTCCGAAAATATACTCCACCAATCTATATTATTTATCTGAGTTAAATACTACAAAATTAGGAAATAGTTGAACTCTCACTTCTTTAATGCACCATTAAATTTAGCTGTATATGTGCAAACTCACATCAACAACACAAATACGCATACAATCGAGTAACTTTGAGTGCACAGCGGGTCCTTTCGTGTGATACAACTTTATGGAAAATAAAACAAGTTACACGTATGATTTCAATCACATCTCACAAATATCGGGGAAGGAGTTACTGAGTAAATAGGGAATACTAATGGAATATTCTCCCTTAAGTGATATATGCGAGAGAAATCATATGCATAACCATCATCCATCATCATCAGATATCACTTTGTGAACAAATCATGTGACTCACGTTGATTTAACAAATTTTCACAAAAATAGTGACCATGACAAGTTGTGCTGTAGCAGTCAGCATCATCACTTATGAGGAACAACAACCCAATTCCCACAACCTTCCAATGTAAACATGTATCACCACTTATCAGACACCAATAATCTCTTTACCTTTTCTCCTATGAAACAAAAAGAGCTTCTTTTTTATTTTTATTTAAATCAAATTAGTTTTTATCCTTTTTTTATAAAATCTTAACAATTAAAAGAAGGTTGATCTAGATTTCATATAACCAGAAACCCGAAAGTACATCAGGGAACCTTTAACCAGTGAAAACGGCCAATTCGATGGATTGATCCACCCCAAATACAAATTACAAAATAAAAGGACTGTAATTGCAAAAAATTAAAAAAAAAATTAAAAAAATACCTGTCTCCCTGCTCGCTCTTCTGAGTGAAGTCCAAATTCCATTGAGTGACCCTCTGCATAGCAGCATAACCTCCGGTGGCAAAAGCTCTAAGAAGATTGAGAGTAGCAGCAGCTTGACAATAAGCTCTAATCATCCTCTGCGGATCAGGAATCCTTGACTTTTCATCAAACGCATCTCCGTTAACGTTATCCCCTCTGTAACTTGGAAGCTTCACGCCGTTCTTCTCCTCGAACGGATCCGATCTCGGCTTAGCAAATTGACCCGCCATTCTTCCCACCTAAACAAACAATACCCAAATTCACATTTTCATCTTCATCACAAAAGAAAGAAAAAAATGATTTTATTTTATTTTTTGTCCTTTTTTGTGTGTGGGGGGGTACCTTGATAACTGGCATTTGGCCACCGAACATCATAACGACGCTCATCTGAAGAATGATTCTGAAGGTGTCACGGATGTTATTGGCATTGAACTCCTTGAAGCTCTCAGCGCAGTCTCCACCTTGAAGAAGGAAGGCATTTCCCAAGGCAGCCTCGCCCAGACGCTCCTCCAAGGTCCTGGCTTCACCGGCGAACACGATTGGGGGGAAAGCGTCGAGGGTTTGGAGCACCGAGTCCAGGTCCTCCTGGTTCGGGTATTCGGGCAGCTGGAGGGCCTTCTTCAATTTCCAGCTCTCTGGGGCCCACTTTCCCTGACCGGCATTACGGGCTGGGGTGGCTGTCTGTTGAGGTTTCGGTGGCTTGTCGGAGACGACGGGGTTCTTGGCGGGCTCGGCGGCGTGGACGGCTACAATGGAAGGTGTGGGCCTGGGCCTGGGCCCGGACCCGGGAAAAGAAGATTGGTTGAGTTTGGTGGGAGTGGAATGAATAAGGGGGTTGGTTGAGTTTGGGATTAAGGATTTGTTGGAAATGAGAGAGTTGGTAGTGGAGATAGCCATTGTTGTTGGTATTATAATTAAACAATGGCTTCGAGGGGATTCAGGTCACGCTTTCTAAGAGGTGCCTGAAGAGGACGAGGGAGGTTTGCTGAGGGTTTTATAAGGAAATGGTTTACCCTCGTTGTTGTTGTTGTTGTTGGGTTGTGTGTCGGGTGGAGACGTGGTGCGGGGGTTGTTGGGGGAAGGGTGTTTTCGTCAACTGAGGTTTCTCTCAGGGGTATTATGGGGAATGTCATGTGTTATTTGGCAGTGCAGTCAAATTGATTGTTTATCTCTCCTCCAAGTACATAGAATAGAAGTATATAAAATCATTTAAAGATAAGAAGAAAAAAGAAGAAGTGAATTTCATGGGAAAAGTGTTTTTTAAATGATATAAAATTTTTATTTTAAGAGAGAGATAGACACAAAGAATGAAAATTATGGAAGATTAAGTATGTGGTTTTTTTTTAATTTAAATTTTAAATAAAAATATATTTTTTTGTGTCTGTCTTTTTTTTAAAATGGCCTAACTTATGTTATTTAAAATGACAAATAATAAATTATTTATTTATAAATATTTAAGAAATAAAATTATCTTATATAACATATTAAACCCATTATTTTGCCGTTCTTCACCTAACTAATCGTCACTTTTTAGTCGCAGATCCGTAGACGGCGCGCCGTAGATTTAATGGCCCAGCTGAATAATAACATTTTTTTTGTCACTTGAGTGAATTAGTGTTTTTATATGCAACTACAATCACAAATTTTAATGTCCCTATTATACTATAAAAATTACTTGTAAGTTTTCTTTTTTTAAAAAAAATAATTAAAGCTGTTTTTTTTTGTGGTAAACAATTAAAGCTGCTTTTATTTGAATGTATCTGTTTAGATCTAAATGTATTTCAGTTTTGATTTAAATTTAAATGTATTAGTTGGCAGAATGATTTGTATAGTTAATGGTATTTGTATTTGTCATTTAACATGATACAATAAACTTTTCTACACACACAACATTTCGTGAGCCCACACTTTTTGAAGAAAAAAAAAAGAGAAGATTATGGCACGCAAAACGAATCTCTATAACATTACAGAATCACTTTTCCTACAACATAACTCTTGTAAAACTCATAATTTATACATCATTTTATATAGGTTACTCTATTTAAGGCTGAACATATTTATGAATCAAACACATCTCTATTCTTCAGGTAAAAACAAATTTTAAATTAGGGATATATAAAATATTGTGTCTTCTTTTTTTATATAAACTTTTTTTTCGGTAAACAACAAAAAATATACACACTTTACCTATTAATCTTAATAATATTATATTAAAATCTCAACTAACTTTCACTTTTTTCTCTTAAAATTCTGATTTAATAGTATTGAAAAAAAATTAGAATAAGCATGAAAAAAATAGAAATAATATCATGTTCCTTTAAATTATGTCAATCATCTGTGCATTTATCTTAAAATGGGAATAATATCTTAAATTGTAAACTATTTAAAATATCATTGATAACAAATATTAAATTGAAGTAGACTTTTTTTTTTTTTTTGGGTACAATGATAAAATTAAGCAAAAATGAAAAACAGAAATTGAACTGCGTCTTTACAAAAGCAATGCCCATTGCATCAGCCGCCAGGACTAAGGAGGGGCAAGACCAGCAAGGGCGATAGGGGTGGCAATACAGGTATTGACCCGCGGTTTGACTCGTGACCTGACCCGCCAAATCACGTGTCGTGTCAACCCGCGGGTCAGGGCGTATCGTGTCAGGGTTGTGTAAATGTGACCCGGTTTTTTTCGTGTCGGGTCACGTGTCAACCCGCGGGTTCGCGTGTCAACCCGCACAGTGTCATTTTTTTATTTTTTTATTAAATATTTTATTATATTATTATTTTTATTCATTTATATATTGATATATATAGTCATTGTTTAGTATAGAAAAGAAAAGAAGGAACTAAAAATCTCAAAAAACATAAGCTAATCTTTTTTTTTTATTGTTTTTAATTTATTTATTTTTCAAAAAATCCCACTTTTTTTTAAATTTTAAATTTTGCGGGTCGTGTCGTGTCGACCCGTGACCCGCAACGGGTCGTGTCAGGATTTGTGTTTTGTGACCCGTTTACAAAACAGGTCGTGTCAAATAGTGTACGGGTCGTGTCGTGTCGGGTTGACCCGTATTGCCACCTCTAAGGGCGAGAGTTAGACCGTTGAAAACCTATCAAGGATTCAAGAGAGCTTTGTTATATGCATATAAATTTTTATTAATTTGTCTGAGAACTTACGACATTTTAATCATTCTTATATGAATTGAGATTTAGTTTAGACAAAATATTAAATTACAAAAAATTATATTTAAAAAGTTTAAAGCAAATGTAAACATATTAACGAAGGGGAGTTATTCTTATTATCATTTTAAATTTACCACTCTTAGCATTTGTTTAATTATTGTTGGATCAATATTTTGATATCATAGTTATTTTTTTCTTTCTTTCAACTGTTAATCTCAAATTGATTCAACAATAACCAATCAGGTAATAGGAATGATAAAGCTAAAATGATGATAAACATTACATTTTCCATTAATGGAAGGCTTAAATAGAATTTATTTATTTTTTATTTTAATTTAAGGTATAAATTATATTTTTTATTTCTCTTCCTAGATCTAATATTTCTTGTTTACTTTGTAAGTGTCACTAATTTTTTATTTTTATGTTTCATAAAAAAGGAGGACCGGTGCCCCAAAGCAAACAAAAGAATCACAATAGAGCCTCTTCACTAGCACCGGTTTTATTATATCAGCCTTATATAACTGCATCACATCACACGAGGCATCGAGTTATACACCTGCATTCCTTCCTTTTTCTCACAGTTGTGAAATTCGGCTCGATCTGATAAACTGGTCATCAAATTAGTTCGAATCAAGTATTAGATTGGTTATGCATGTGATCCAGTCAAATTTGGTCAAATCCGAACAAAACCGATCAAACTCGATCAAAATCGATGACCCGATTGGGTCATGTATTTTTACATAAAAAAACCAGAAAATCAGAAGACCAAAATTGTTTTATTTTGTCAAAAAAAAATGTAGAATTCATTTAAAAAAAAATTATCAGTTTATTTGCTAGTATATTCTTCTATAATGATCTCAAATTTCAGCTTTCAATACTGAAACAATTTACGGAACAATAAATTAAGAAAATGTGATATATGTCATTTAAATGTAGATAAATTTGAAAAATATGAATTCAATGTCATTAGAGATATGCGTATAGAGATTCTGAGTTTAAATTTACATAGTAATAATGTGCATTTTCATTTATTTTGCTTCGTAAACTTATAAAAGTGTGATTGAATAATTTTTGAGCTTATTTAGTAAATATTGTTTAACTCATTTTAAATATGAAAAATATAATTAAATTTATATCTTCATATTTATATATAAGTTTTATATATCCGAGTCAATCAATCTGACCAGTGACTCAATACCAGACTTAATCGATGCTCGAATCAGATTTAATGGCTTTTCTCCACCGCATTTGCTGCAAATCAATCTACAATGCTGTTGCTGTCACGTATCACGTATGCTTGAAATTAATTTGCCACTCCTTGTTTTTCCATACTCAAATCCAAACCATTATGCATGACTCACTTGAGATGTTACCATCAAGATAAGCATAACCAAAACTAGTTACTCTTCAACTCCTTCCTTAAAAATTAAAACTTTTCATAAATTCGTCCCAAACTTATAAAAGTAGTAATTTTAGAAAAATCTTAAATCACTCAGATGTCAAAACTGCCTCACATGAATGCCAATGTTGTAATATTCACACGAACAACTTTTTAAGTGAATTACTTATCGTATCCAAGCAAACATAGAAATAATCTAATTAGATTATTTCTTTTCTTTTTTTGTAAATAGAAATTAGACTATTAGTGATTAAACAGAATGGAAATAATTTCACAAAAAACAATTAACAACATTGGAAATAGAGACTTTTTTAATATGCACCCTGTGCATGATTTTTTGGGTGCTTTTTTTTCAAAAAAAAAAAAATTCTCTTTCATTTATATCCCTATTTTCTTGTTAAATTTCCTTCTTTTTTCCTAATTCTTTTTAGATAAAGCCCACCAAAGCCATCCATCCAAAATCCCGATGCTAAGTACAAAAAGTTAGCAAAATGAGCTATAAATAATGGGTTTAAATTATCTTATATTGACAAGTGAGCTTCCAAGGGTTTGCTTGAGTCAGGGTTCAAACTCTGTCTCAAGCAAATTCTTGAAAAATCTTTGAGGGTCAGAGGATGTGTCTCTCTTCTCGAATGGAGGATTAGTCTCATCCTTACTCCGGTAGTGAAGCTCAATGCACCCGTTGTTCCAATAAGAGGCTAACCTACAGGGCCGTATCCCGAGAGTAAGGTGACCGGAAGAGGTTGAATGGGGATACCTCCAAGTTATAAAAAAAAAAATAATAATATCTTATGCAAGTGAGACATGAAAAGATGTACCATTTCTTTTCTTTTTTTGATTTTTTAGAAAATGATAAGATCTACAATATTTATTTCTATAGCATGAGGTAAGACATCTCCCATAAATAATTTGTCATATATTACATCTCCCAAAAATGTAACTACATTGAAAAATGAAAACACAATACAGAATAACATGATGGATTTGACTTCGTCATGAAAAATGTCTACAACAAAGACCGGCTTGGCCGAGCCGATAAATCACAAGGCAAGCCTTGTCCCTTTTGACAAATCCCAAAATCTTGCAGTCTTTTTGCTTTAGGTTGTTGTGGGAGTTTGGTGTGTAGATAGGTTGCGATTTACTACCATTTTGTTAATTTGGTTTCCGTTGACTTGTCCTGCTAACAACAAGTACTTTATCTATTGAACCACTTTTAAAAAAAAAAATAGTTATATCATGTTATAGAAAATTGATTATGTCATACTATAGACACAAGACACATATTGGTTGTGTCATGATATAGACACAAGGTTTACATTGGTTATGTCTATAGTATGACATAACAAATTTTCTGTAACATGATACAGTTTTTATTTTTTTTTATTTTCAAATCCCTTATCTCTTATCTATTTCATTTT